TTTTATTATTGTTTTTTGTTTTTTTTCATTTTACTTTTTCTAGACTCTGTTTTCATGGTTACATTTTATTCATCAAAAAGCATGTCTAATTAATTGAAATCATTAAACTTACAATATTAAACAGCAGTGCATTAAAAATGTAACAAAAATTACATTTTTAAGGCCCTATGAATGAAATATTTTTTGTCTTATTGTCTTTATCTTATTTTTTTCTCAAATTCAAGTTTGAGAATGCTGTGAAGACCTTTAAGTTTCTGTTTGTATATGATATGACGATAGTTTTACTCAAAAGAAATGGTAAAATGCTCATGAAGGGGAAAGAGATTATATTCATGTGTTCATGTAACTTACTCATATATTGAGGCGGCAGAGGCTGAAAACAACGCGAACATCACGCGTGCTTCAGTGTGTGTGTAGTAAATTAAACCGTGCATCTGCGCCATTCATTTACACAGAGAAACGCAGAAATGCAGGATTCTTATTTAAATAGTATTTTGCGGCTTAATAATCACACATATTAGTCCATATCACGTTTTTATTTAAGTGCACTGACCTACTTTTGATGTATCCATCTAAATTTGGCAAATTCCATGACACTCCGCGTTATACTGTAAATTCTGTTTTTATTACTGGATTCCACGATTCCGTCTGCGTTTTCTGGATTGCCGAAATCAAGGGCCCTAATATTGTACATGTAGCCTAATTACGCATTCTTACTTGGCTTTTTTTACATTTAGATCATCTAACACGCAAAGTTAATCTTTAAAAACACTAATAATTTAATAACACTGTTAAATATAATCTTTAGCGGGTCATGTGACAAGAACCAACCAATCAGCTTCATCCTTTCCCGTAACAACATTGAAAGCTCAGTCAAGATGAAGGAACAGCTGATCATAGCTGTACAGGGATAGCCATTTTTAAATAAATTTAGTAGCAGAGCTACTGCAAGCGATTTTTAGTGCTGCAAATCCATTTATCCTTTGCTGAAACTCCCCAGTCTTCATGGAGAGCGGAGGTCATGGTTGCTTAGCAACGGCAGACGCCTCCGGAGCGCAAGCGCCCGAACGCTTTGGAAAAAAAGCAGAAAGCGGCGCGCCTAGCGTTTTCCACGCGTTTTTAGGCGCGATATGTGAATGGCCCCTTATGCAAATCTTCCCAGATCGTGACGTAGGTATGTGGGGGCGTGTTAGAACGAGCCGTTTTAGGTAGGCGTGGTTAACTCTTAACTTTTATAAAGAATATCTCTTTGGTTTTGAGACTTTAGTGTTTGCAACTTTACAGATCTTCTTTATGCACCAAGAGCTTGTAACACTCCAAAGAGAAAGGAAAAATTGAAATTGCATCATATGACCCCTTTAACATCTATTTTTCATATTGTATTATGATGTTGTAATGGCTAAATTCATGTGCATTTGCGGTTTTAATATCCATAATTAACTGATCATCAGCCATAACACTGAAGTCAATTTGGTGTCGTCCAGCATTTTAAAATTGATGCAGTGCTATAGGTAAAGTGACAACTGAACATTTTGTCATCAGTTACTCACCCTCATGTTGTTTTAAACCTGTATGACTTTCCTCTGTGGAGCACAAAAGAAGATATTTTGAAGAAAGTTGGAAAACAAACCATTTTGGTGACCGTTGACAAAAAAAACACTAACATTCTTCAGAATATGTTCTTTTATGTTGCACAGAGGAAAGTAAGTCATACAGGTTTGGAACGACACCAGGAAGACAAATTGTCCTTTTTGGCTCAAATATCCCTTATATTCTGGGATACTGATGGGAGACTTTATAACAGTGTTTGACTGGTTGCTGCTTAATTTGAGAGCATGATTTATGAATCTATTAAAGCTCATCATACAGAGTTGTGGTGGATTTAGCGACTGAATGTGCTTCTAATAAACTTGCAGCTCTTTAAGCAGCTTATACCCACTGAGTGTGTTTTGTGGATTTTTTGAAGGTCAAGAGCTGCGTCCTTTACACACAGATCGCTAGCGGAAACTGACTTCTAACTGTCTTCAGGAAAGATAACAGCACTCTCTCATTACATACTCTTAGCCTTCAGCTTGCTTTCAGTTTATCACCAACACAAACGTTGAGACACTGAGCATCACTAGGAGCAGAAGACAAAATGGTTTATCATTTAGTGGTATATTATTTTTCTTTGATTCATGAGTCTCTTACTTTCTTTAATATCTTGGCTAAAGCTCAGGGCTGACAGGAAGGGAATCCATCTCCATTAGTCCTTTGCTGGGTAATGCAGACCTCTGTCTGTGTCATTATGGCCAACTAGTTGTCCAGCAGCTACTAATATATATTAACTCTAAGACTATTTGCTAGAAGAATACTACTTGAATGCATCCAGCAGTTGATTCAAACATATCAGATTCTCATTTTTCAGGGCAGACAACCTCAAACACATAGGCATCTCATTTGAGTAATTTTCTTCTCTGAATAACATGGAGCAGCATTTTATCTGAAGCAAACATAGTTTGCGTACATCCTGCTGTGGTTCTAATTTATCTCTGTTAACTTTTCTGCCTGTACTGCTGATCCTCCAATTATATACAGAGTATGCTGATAAAAGCATTGGAGCTCTTCTGTATTCAGCTTTATTCAGTTTTGCCTGTTCCTCACTGGGAAGATCACTGGGTCTTCTGACATAAGCAAAACCATGATTGTATGTTCATATTACATTAGCTATGTTTCCATCCACTGGAATGGAACTGGAATATCGCATAAAATATTTGCGAATAAAGTTTCCATCCAACAAGTCAAGTAGAACAAAGTCATCACTTTCTGATAAACTGGCACTAAATATCTCTAAGAAAACTAGGAGAATCCACTGAATATAATAATTTTCATATGTAATAAATTCAGGGTCGGCCCTAGAGTGCACAAGTGAGGGGGCAGGCACGATTTTTTCTGAGAAAAAAAAAACCCGGGATAAACACGAAACTTGTAAATAAAATAATCTGATATGTACAATTTAATAACATATAGCCTAGTTTGATATATGAATTGGGTGTTTGTCAACGATTGCATGCGGTCAGAGATTCCTGTGTTTACAGCTCCGTAAAATAACCTACTGGAATTTCTGTAGGTTTGCTGTATAGGCCTAGTTAAAATATTAAAATTACAAACACACAATAACATTTTAAGTTACTTCCATTTCTGAAAAAAAAAGAATGTAGGCCTAGTAATTGATGTCATAAATACACAAGCCTGATTTTTGTTTTAATTATCGATCGTACATCCCAAAAAAAAAAACCACATGAACCTTTGCAATCAAGACTGAAAAAACAACAACGTTGAAGCCAGAAGTAAATGTAAACCAGATTTGGCCCAGACTCTGTTGCTATCTGGGAAGCCAAGCATAAGAATAGCCTACTAATGTAAATTTGTTAACCCACAGTAACAAATTTTAACCAATTAATCGCATATTTTCGTTTGCTGCATGCTTTTAAAAACACACTAAAAATAAATGGTTCATTTTTTTTTTTTTTGAGGAAAATTTAAAAAAAGATAAGTCTCGTTTCTCGTATAAGTCGCATTTTCAGAAATAATAACGGCAGGCCTAATAATGTTATAATGTACCAACATTATGAACACTATAGGATATTTTAGTTCCCCTCACTTTACAACAAATCCTTTAAATTTAACCGTATCAGAACAGAATAAGAATTTAAAAATATATAATTCTAATGGATAAATATAATTGCAGTATATAATAATATAGGCTTAGCAATAAACAGGCCAAAACAAATTAAATTAAAACTAAACGTAAGGTGAAGTTGGGCTTAGCTCTCTAGGCACAAATCCGAATGTGTCCATATTCGTGATGTAGCCTATTTGAAGCTAAACTCTTAGCCTATTTATTATGTAAAATAGGCTTTGTAGTTCACGCGTTTCAGTATCGACGGAAAAATATCATAATGAGCAAAAATATGCCACAGTGGACCGGTGCTCATGCCGAACGGCACGGTGAACGGCTGTGCCGTTTCCAATGAATGCAGTAGCTTAGTGTGCGCGTGAGGCGCCGGCGCGATCAAACAGCTGAAACATAAAATAGGCTACTCCGTCATTTTTGGTCATACAGTAAAGGCATAATTCGAAGCAAAGTGTTAGAAGTTTGAAAATTCAAGAATAATAGCAAAGTTAATAAGAATTCTTTCTAAATGCAGTACCGTTCTTATTTCGCTCTGCATAACCTGAACGAAAAAAATATATATTTTTGCTAAGAACGAACCGAAATTGCGTGTATTTCGTGTATTTAACACCCTGGGAGACCTTCCCAGGGCAGTACCCTGCCTCACAGACTAAAATCAAGGCGCCTACTACGGACACGGCACCAGAGGTGAGGGGGCACAGTGACCGAGGGGGCCAGGCCGGGCCAGGCCCCCCGTGGCGCCAACACTGAATAAATTACTTGTGCTTCAGAGAGAGCAGACGTAACACAATAAATGCGGTCATTGCTTTTAGAGGTGGATGCCTGCGCTTTGGGAACGCAGGCATGTAAGACAGTAATTATTCAGAAATACTTTGATGACAGACTTTCCTCAGGCATTTCAGAACGACCAAAACAACATATAGATGCTGTGAACGAGATCGGTCCGCTGGTTACTGTGGTTAGTCAATTTATCCCGTCTCCTAGCACAAAGTCACATGACTTTTTCATTGCACATGGTGGAATTTATTCGGTAAATGTGTTTCCATCGTAGTTTATGCGCATTTTTTCTTATCGGATTAAAAGTTTATCCTGCTCAGTTGTGCACATAAGTTTTTTTTTATGTGCATTTTTAGAATTTATGTGCATCTTGACGTTTCCATCCAGCTTTTTTTTATGCGATAATCCAAAATGTGCATAAAAATAGGTGGATGGAAATATAGCTATTGACAATCACAGATGTGTTGCTTTCAAATGTGTTGATTGAGCTTATGGTGGGATATCAGAGGTTTCTTTTATTTAAAAGTGTTTTTTATCTGTGTTTCAGTACACCCGGGTTTGGATCCCTGACCCAGAAGAGGTTTGGAAGTCAGCTGAAATCATCAAGGATTATAAGGAGGGAGACAAAGTGCTTCATCTCAAATTAGAAGATGAATCGGTAAGCAAAAACCCTCCCCTTTATCTTTCACCAACAAATCTTGCTTGAACCTTAACGACTTGTTTTATTGGTAAATTAAAACAAAAAATGTCGGCGGGGAAAAAAGAATATTAGGAGCAAAATTGTTTGTCATTGTGGAAAATTATTAAAACAATAAATATTGAAATGGTTTATGTTTATTGCAGTCTTTTAGATCTGCTTTTTTGTTTTAATCTATGAAAAATCATCTAAAAATGGATACATTTTCATATTAAAATCAAAAGTCTGGGTCTAGGACAACAAATAAAAACAACAACAAAAAAGAAAATCTGTACAAAAAAAGCATTTGAAAAGTAGCAAAAAAATATAAAAATAAAGATATTTGCCCCTAGTTGACAAAATTAGGGGAAAAAAAAAAATTCTGATTTATAAAAAAAAAATAGCTTTTTTTTTTTCTCCTCAGACTACAAAGCAAAAAATCTCAGTCATGACACAGCAATTGTGACCTAAACCAGATCCTAACGCTTCCTGCATTAGTTTGGGTTTCACCGTACTGAGGAAAGTGTGTCTTATGAATCATTAATCATGTTTTGGTGTGTAAGAAGCGCAGGCCCTGAGAGGGAAGGTTGTACGCCATATTCTCGAGTGTATTATCAAAAAACAATGTTGGGGAAACCTAAATAAACCAGTAGATGAAATAAAGATCAGCATAACTTATTGAAGCTCTTGTGCCTGTAATGCATTACCAACACTCTCAGTCTGCCAAAAGACACTTTTTGACTCTTGAAGCCCATGGAGTTACTTGACATTGTGGTTTGAATCCAATCAATTTCTAATCTACTGTTTCTACTTAATGGCATTACTGTCTCTATTCCTAGACGTTAGAATATTCAATTGGTCCCAAAGACAATGCACTTCCATTTCTTCGGAATCCTGATATTCTGGTGGGAGAGAATGACCTCACGGCTCTCAGCTACCTCCACGAGCCTGGGTACAAAGCTGTCACTGTGATGTACCCTAAGCTAAAAGGTACATTATTTTCCCCTAAATGGTATATATTAATACCTAAAGTGTACATATTAGTAACTTTTGAGTTGACAGTTTTGTACCTTTTTTTGTGTTGATAACGCAGGTGATACCTGAACAGCACACGTTGCTATCTGTGTTTAAACTAAACTCAATTAAACCTGGCCAGTTTAAATATTAAAGAGCCAGAAGACGCGAACTCGCACGCGCAGTGAGAAGATCTGTGTGTGCGCTCATCCGAAGCGCGTGAACCCACGTCTCAGAACGCGCGCAAATATTAAGCTCTCTTTGAAGTATTGTGCTTGAATGGACAAATTCACACAAAAATTATGTCAAAATGCCCTTCTTGGTGAGTATCCTAGCAGACATAGTCGGCTGAACAAACTGTATCAGTGCACTGGATCAGTGCGTTCTCTTAAAGTGACAGCACTTTCTTAATGTTAATCAAACAGCAACAACACGGAAATCTCACTGCTCTTGATTGAATAACTTTTGTAACTTTAATAAAGATTAATCTTTAATTTATACAGTCAAACATGCAATGTTATTTTACATTTGATTACTTTATTCAATTTCTGTACCTAAAAAACCTGAAAAGCACTGTTTATTTTATTTGTATCTTTGCTCTATTGCATTTATTTGTGCTGTTGCTTGTAGTTAGATTATTTGTTCTTATTTTCTTTATTTTTATTTGACAATATAGTTTTTTCCCTAAACATAGCACATAGCACAACCGTACCGAAACCGTGACTCTAAAACCATGATAGAAAACCGAACCGTGAGTAAGTTGAAACATTGCACCCCTAATAAGTACATTGTACTTATTTTTGAATGTAGTTAATGCCACCCTAATATAAAGTGGGACCACATCATTTTTAATCAAATTATTAAACTAACTACCAATTCCATTTATTCAAATTATGTTGCTGTGTCCATTTTTAATAAATTAATTTTCTATTAAATATTCTGATTATCCTGAATTAATTGAATATCGCATATTTCCAGGGAATTTTGACCCTTATGTTTCATATACCTCTTATTAGTTGTATGTGCTTTATATCAACAATGGATTTACAATATCATCTCAGTTATTCATAGGGACGATGTTTTCATCACTGTTTAAACCTGAATGTTCTTCTGCAGAGATGAAAAGAACCAGTCGATAATTGTGAGTGGCGAGTCTGGAGCCGGTAAAACAGTTTCCGCAAAGTATGCCATGCGCTTCTTCGCCACAGTGGGAGGTTCAGCGAATGACACCAACGTCGAAGAGAAAGTACTGGCCTCCAGCCCCATCATGGAGGTATGCTATGAACTAATTCTTGTGAGAAAATACGATCTAGGTCACCACATGATGTTAATCAGTTGAGAACCACTTGATTGGCTTGCGTCACAGACACATTACCAGAATAATTTGTGTTCAATTTGATAAACTTTTGCCACCAAGTACTTCCATCGTGTGCAGCAGCTGTAAAGGTGCCCTCAATTCACTCATCACTCCATCTCATTGCCACCTTTGAGCTGCGAAATTAAACTCAAGAATCAGCAGGCCTGTTTGAACAGATAAGAGCAAAGCAGGCACTTGTGCCCTTCAGGAAGATAATCTGAGTGCCAACGAGAGTGGCCAAATCTCACAGTCAATTTAGAGATATCATTACTGTGGAAATGAGCATTGGTGATAGAAGGGCCTCTTAGGATGCGAACCTAGACATAGACCATCCTTATACTACCGGTGACTCATAACACCCCAGCTCAGACAAACAAATAATCCAAAATCACGGTAATTACTCATTCTAAATTATGCCGCAAACAGGATTTTAGGTTTACGCCTCTATCATGTTGCACCCTCTGTTGTGAAATTCTTTCTCCACCCTTCTTATGTTCCATTATGCATCAATCATAGTAATTTGATAACCTCCTTTTTCAGATTAAACCAACCAAAGAGTGACTCAAGCATAAAAATTTTCTTTTTTTCCTTCTGTGCAGGCTATTGGAAATGCAAAAACCACCCGCAATGACAACAGCAGCCGCTTCGGGAAATATATCCAGATCGGCTTCGATAGGAGATATCACATCATCGGTGCCAACATGCGAACGTATCTGCTTGAGAAGTCCAGAGTAGTTTTTCAGGTTTGTCTCATGTAGGAATGGTGCTTTAAGATTCATTTGCAGCCCCTTGTGCTTTTCCAAGTGTTGAACATCAATATATTTTTGCAGGCTGAGGAAGAGAGGAACTATCACATCTTCTACCAGCTCTGTGCTTCATCCTCTCTGCCAGAGTTTAAAGATCTAACCTTGAGTAAGTGGTCCAGTTAACTCAGTGACTAGTTTGGTTACTTGTAACTGTATTTTTGAAATCCAAGTGTTTTTATTTGCCATTGACTAGGGCTGGGCCGTAGGACGATACATACTGTTTGATGGCAGAAATAGGTGTTATAATATGGTCCTCATGGCACAAGATGATAAAAAAATGTGAGACATGATGCAGCTCATCTGTCAAATGAGGCTACCTTTACACTGGTGTGTTTTTGTTTTAAAATGCATAACTTTTGCTATGATTACGCCTGTCGTTTACACTACTCCGGCGTTTTCGAGGGTTGAAAACAAGACTTTTGAAAATGCTGCAGACCCCATTTTAGTTTGAAAACTTACACTGGTTGCGTTTCGGTGTAAACAGACCAAAACGGAGACTTTTGAAAATGATGGCATGGCTGCCCACATTCGCTCTGCGTATCCTTGAACAGGTAGGACACAACGCGGTAGACAGACAGTGGCAGCGGCAAAGCCAAACACAGGCGCCATCTTGCCACGTGAGGTACCTCCTCTGTCTGTTGGAAGTACATTTCACATGTACAATGTACATTTGACATTAAGGCTAAGTTTACACTTGTGTGTTTTAGTTTTAAAATGCATAACTTTTGCTACAGTTACGCCTGTCATTTACACTACTCTGGCGTTTTCGACCCTCGAAAATGAATACTTTCGAAAACGCTGCAGACCCCTTTTTAGTTAGAAAACTCCGGGGTTGCGTTTCAGTGTAAACGGACCAAAACGGAGACTTTTGAAAACGATGGCGTGGCTGCCCACATTCGCTCTGCTTATCCTTGACGACCGTGTAACAATAACATCATGCTTATTGTTGTACCCATAGATATGTATAGGTAGATTCCCCATTCGACCGCTCCAAGCACGTAGATGCGTCCGCCATCTAAATAATAGGGAAATACATATCTATGGTTGTATCTGCATGAATGGTCATGTGACATGCGTTTTTTTGGTTGTGTAGTGTAGATGGAGATTGTTTCTGAAACGCAGTGAAAACGCCAGTGTAGACGAGGATCGTTTTCATTTTAAAATGCCATTTTAAAACGAAAACGCACTAGTGTAAACGGGGCCTTAATATAATGTCTGAAAGTATCTTAATTTGTTTTGATTTTTTTTCTTATTAAATATTCATATGCACATTTTATTCAATTAAAATGTAATAAAATTGTATTTGGAAATATTATTGGAGGGGTGAGGTGTCCAAGTCGCAACATCTAGTTACTGGGGTGCCTCAGGGCTCAGTTCTTGGACAACTTCTCTTCTCTGTCTACATGGCATCACTAGTTTCTGTCATTCAGAAACATGGCTTTTTATATCACTGCTATGCTGATGACACTCAACTCTGTCTCTTTCCATCCTAAAGATTTGACGATAGCTGCTCCCATCTCAGCATATATATATATATAAAAATCTTGCTATGTGTACTGCGTTAGGCTAACCGAGACTTGTCACAGCACATAGCATATTATTGCTCTTTTGTTGGTTTTTATTGCTTATATTTTCCAAATTGTAAGTAAATGTCTAAATGTAAATGTAATTATTACTATTTAAAGTAGTTTTCTCATTTCTAATTTATTTTAAAGCTGCAGTCCGTAACTTTTTTTTGGTTAAAAATGATCCGAAATCAATATTTGGGCAAATTTAAATTTTAAAAAATTAGAGATTAGACTGTACAGAAATTGAAATCTACACGTTTATACACACTATATTCACATAGTAACATAATGCTGATGTTGTTAACATTAACAATTTGAGAATAAAGTATAACAATAATAATAATTTGCACGGTTTGATGTGATATGAGCTCATTTAGATTAAATCACCATAGCGTGATTTATTGTAATGCTTTTTTTCTCAGTTGGTCAGAACAAACGTAGCAGACTTGTTACTTACTTTTTCAGATAACAATATACGGTGAAAATTCTTATTTGGGTCATATATTCCAAGACGTAGGCTAGAATCTGTGATTCTGAAGTACAGTGAATATCCACACCGGTGCGGTGACTGACTGCCACACATACTCCTCAAAACATTAGATTCATCCGCACTGGAGCCGTGCCAGAGCACAACCCACACAAGGAAGATAATTCCGCAAACAGCTGCAATTGCAGGTTTTCAAACAGAGATGGCGACAAAGAGGCAAAACTTACGGACTGCAGCTTTAAGATATAATTTATTCCTGTGACAGCAGAATTTTTGCCATCCATTACTCCAGTCTTCAGTGTCATATGATCCTTCAGAAATCATTCTAATATGCTGATATTGTGCTCAAAAACATTTAGTATTATTATCAGTGTTGAAAACAGTTGCTTACTATTTTAGTGGAAACAGTAAACGTTTTTCAGGATATATTGATGAATAGTAAGTTCAATAGAACAGCATTTATTTGATATAGAAATCTTTTGTAACAATGTAAATGTCTTTAATGTCACTTTTGATTAATGCATCCTATTGAATACATTAAAAAAAGCTATTACTGACCCCAAACTTTTGAATGCCAGCGTACATGATTTTGATCATAATGCTGCCACTGACAGTCTTTAAGTCTTACTCATTCAAATTGTCTATTCACCCTCATGTTTTAGCCAGCGCAGAGGACTTTACCTACACGTCTCTCGGTGAAAACATTTTCATTGAAGGGGTGAACGACGCTGAGGACCTTGTGAAGACAAGAGAGGCTCTTACAATGCTTGGTAAAAACTTCAGCAATAAATATGACTATAACCAAGGTTTTGCAACAAGCCATACTGAGTGTCAAACATAAATATTACAACACTGTGTGTTGTGCAGGTGTGAAAGAGATCCATCAAATGAGCATCTTTAAAGTAATTGCCTCCATCTTGCACCTGGGGAACGTGGGGATTGTGTCGGAGAGAGATGGAGAATCCTGCCATATCAACGTAAGTGTACAGCAAATATTGTGTCTTAGTGTATGTTATCTATTTTAGCACATTACCGTTAAACTGCTGACTATCCTTCACTAAACAGTTACAATCTCTTTTTGCACCTGCAGAGGGATGGCACACATTTACATCATTTCTGTCGGCTTTTGGGTATAGAGCAGGAGCAGATGGAGCACTGGCTGTGCCGCAGGAAGCTGGTGACCACTGCCGAGACCTATGTGAAGAACATGTCGCATGCCCAGGCGGTCAACGCCCGAGACGCCCTGGCCAAACACATTTACGCCCATCTCTTTGACTGGATCGTGGAGCACATCAATAAGGCCTTGCACACGTCCACCAAACAGCACTCCTTCATTGGGGTGCTGGATATCTATGGGTAATGCTTGTGATAATGAGAGGGCATGCAAGTACAGCTTGAGAAACATAGCTCTTCGGTTTCTTATATACAGTAGAGTAATATGTCTTGTGTTTTGACCTTCCCTTAGCAGAAACTGCATTGAGTTTTTAGAGTTAGCATTTGCCTGTAAGCCTTTCTGACCATGGGACTAATTACTTCCTCAAAGAAGGGAACTTATTGATCAGCATTAGAGTAAATAAGCAGAGAAGTGCCAAGCTATCGGATGCAGAGAGAAGTGTGGAAGGTGTTGAGTTTGTTTTCAGGGAAATCGGATTGATTTTGTTAACATGTCTTCACCTCCCAACAGATTTGAAACCTTCGAGATCAACAGCTTTGAGCAGTTCTGTATTAACTACGCCAATGAGAAACTACAGCAACAGTTCAACTCGGTCAGTAATAGATTATCAATAGATCCATATGGTTAGTGTCTTTTGGGCCACTCGTGCTATGCAGTATTTAGATATATATACCATCTTAAATGTCTTAATATATTGGATAAAATAAAGTTGTATAGGCTAAATAATGTATATTCTCAATTTTTAAGGTTAAAAATCGCATTTAGTTATAAATGTTTTTAATTTAATATTTTAAATATTATTAATAATAATATTTTTTAAATATATTGAACAATAATTTAAAGATTTTTCACAACAGAACTCTGAACAGGGCGTCTTAATTAGTTTCAATTTCACTGACACTAATATGCAGTATTTAGACGTATACTATTTATAAGTATTTATTTATTAGATGAAGTATTATAATGATTATAATTTTTTTCTCACGTTTTAAAAGTGGAAATGATTTTTGTTTTATTTTAATAATAACTTTTATTATTAATAATAACTTGTATTTTTTTTAAATAATTAAACCATTTTTCATTATTCATTTAAGAAAATGAATGAACAATTTTACTACTTTAGTTTGTTCTTGAGTGTTGTGCACATCTACAATAAAAATAATAACCTGGACATTTCCTAAAGAATAATCCAGAATGAAACTAGTTTTCTCAGGAATATTGTTTTAATTGATAATCATTTAATAGTTTTTCTATATCACTTTCTAATCAGTTTGTTTTTTTTTCTTTTCAATGGCTTTCAGTATCACTTTCTATCCTATTAGTCTTTTATATTATTCATTTGAATAACAAAAGCCAGTTGCATAATTAATCATATTCCAGGACATTTTAGAATTGCAATTACAATTTAGAATTGCATTTAGAAGTAAATAGATAATACAGTGTAGAAATACAAAAGCGTTCATTTTTAAAAAGTTAGAAAATGTACTGCATGACAGGAATGACCTGTGTGTTTGTGTCATGACTCTTCGCTGTATTTAGTTTCAAATTTAATGTATTTGATGCATTTACCTAATACATATACATCATATATTCCTTAGCATGTGTTTAAACTGGAGCAAGAAGAGTATATGAAGGAGCAGATCCCCTGGACGCTTATAGATTTCTATGATAACCAGCCGTGCATTGACCTCATTGAAGCCAAGCTTGGTATTCTGGACCTTCTTGATGAAGAGTGTAAGGTGAGTCACGAGCAGAGAGAAAACAGTTGTTGAGAATACGATAAAGAGAATTTGAGAGGCATGTTATCTAAACCGGTCTCTGAACAGAGCGTCTCATTTAGTTTTAAAGACCTCTGCCTCTTTGAAGTTTTTGAGTATGAATCAGAGCAGCTTCAAAAGTGTGATCATGCTATTTCTGCTACAGGTAACCCAAATAATGTTTTCAGTTTCCTGCAGTTCAAAGTATTTTTCTTTACTGCATCTGACAGGTGCCTAAAGGAACGGATCAAAACTGGGCTCAGAAGCTGTACAGCCAGCATTCAAACAGCGGGCATTTCGAAAAGCCCAGGATGTCCAACAGGTCTTTCATTGTGGTCCACTTTGCAGATAAGGTTTGTTCAGCTTATATTAAGCACACTATAGGGCTCAGGATGCTGCTGGGATATAATAACACCCAACCTATCATACTTAAAGAGATAGTTCACCCAAAAATAAAAAATTATGTCATTAATTATTCACCCTCATGTCAGAAAGCTCTCGGATTTCATAAAAAATAAGTTATTTTGTGTTCCGAAGATGAATGAAGGTCCTGCGTGTTTGGGACGACACGAGGGTGAGGAATTAATGACAGAATTTTTATTTTTGGGTGAACTATCCCTTTAACTTCCTAAAACTCTTTTACAAACAAAGCAGGCTTTTCACACTTTAAGCTGTAAACCATTTTCATTTTTAAATCTGTAACAGATTTAAATTGAAAAAAATTACGTAAATACTTTTTGTGGAAATGAGCAAAATGTGTGTTGCGCAGATGGGCTCACTAAAACCCAATTTTTGTGAAATTGTGTTACACAACACAAATGTTTTGGTTAATAATGCATGATGAATGCAACAAAAATAGATGATTCATCTTCATGCCAGTTTGGGGGCACAAAAATGATGTAGCATGTTATTTTTAGTGTGGTACTGATGAATGCATCACACTTGTGACATTATGACAGGTTGAATATCAGTGTGATGGCTTCCTGGAGAAGAACAGAGACACTGTTTATGAGGAGCAGATAAACATCCTCAAGGCCAGTCAGGTGAGCACTGTATATTTTTCTTAAGAATAAAATGTTATGTTTTTTAAAAATGCATTTATTTATTTTTTTACCCTCTGTTTATTTAACTCAGCTCAGTTATGTTGCTCTTCCCCATCCAGCCAAGCCTCTGTTTATGCTTCACGCTTCCTCATGTCTCTGCATGATGGAAATCACACTTTAGCTCATGTTTTGCTCTCTGGCCTGTTTAAGCAGTTAATTGACTTTCAGGCAAACAGAGGCCTGACATTGCCCACACCTAGCACTGTATCACCCGAACAGCCGGCTATTCACGAACAGCTTGTAAAACTCCAAAGAGAAAGGAAAACTTGAAATCGCATCATATGACCCCTTTAACCAAGATTAAATAGTATATCCATTGTCTTTGTCAATACTGATCTCTCTCGTAGTGTTTTGTCCTGAGGTTTCTTGGCAACAGAATTTATTTGTAGACAGCAGCACATCAGCGTCTACAAGCTAAAAATCTTCTCTGCAGGACAGTGTCGAGTGAAACTTTCACTAGGATTCTTGTAATGAGGTGTCCCTGTGGAAGAAGTGCAATTTAAACATCAGTTTGTCTCAAGTGATAACAGTTTTCAGCACTGCTGTCTGAAGTTTAAATATGTTTCCCAGCTATGTTCTCTTCAGGATATCTGCAGTACTCTCATCATGCAGGGCTCTCATTGTGGTTTAAAAAGTCGTGTTTTTTTTATCGATGAAATAGTGAAGGCTTGGCTCTTGCATATTAATTAGGTTGTACACAAATAATTTAACATGATCTTTTGCTGTTTTAATGAATAGTCTGTGTGATGTCTATGACTTCATTATTTCATCTACCACTGATCGGCACTTAAAAGATACTATTTCAAGTATGTATGTCCTTATTATTGGAATACTTTGTCCAAAAATGAAAATAGTGCAGGAAATTTAGCAATCGTCAGGCCATCAAAGATTACATCACTTGCTCGCCAATGGATCCTCTGCAGTGAATGGGTGCCGTCAGAATTTAAGTCTTGTGAAGTGAAAAGCTGTGTAAGAAAAAAAAAAATCCACCATTAAGACGTTTTAACTTTAAACTTAATACTTACTCCATACTTCATAATAACACGTCCTCCAGTGAAAAAAAAAAACATACCTATTGTCTTTTCAAATCAAAACATATTTGACAAATTTGTTTAAAGTAATGCTAAATTTCTCAGAATCTGTTCTGGATTCATTTTGGATGAACTAAGGGTAAGTAAAAGTTTTCCGTCTGGGGTGAACGATTCCTTTAAAAGTATACTATATTTGTGTTATTTTCTTACTGATTTAAAACAGCAAATTAAATCCTTTTCAGTCTAAATTTTAATTTTGGTCACACTTTATTTTAAAGTCCAATTCTCGCTATTAACAAACCTTAGCTACGACTTTTGCCTCAATTAACTCCTAATTTGCTGCTTATTAATAGTACGGTAGTTGTTAAGTTTAGGTATTGGGTAGAATAAGGGATATAGAATATGGTCATGCAGAATATGTGCTTATTTGTTTTGTAAAGTTCACATTTCTAAGAAAGGATAGGGTCTTGTTTTGCTCTGTTTGTGTCCTCTGCAAATTCTGAGCACAAAAGCCCCTTCAAGGATGCTAAATTGAGAGGGTTTTGTCAGTCACATGCTCTTAAGGTTGTGAACACACAGTCACAGAGTTCTGAGTCAGATAGCCTCCAGTCCCTGAGCGGACTGCAGTCTCCCAATGCCTCTCTCACAGGAGATGTGCTCTATGCTCAAAAGAAAGATCCGGTAGGTCTCTAGATAACACACCAAATCTCTTGTGGTGTGACATGCTCACTTTTTGTACCCAGATGTTCCTTGTTTAGAATCTTCTTACGTTGGTTTTCACAAAGATTCCTCACTTTTCGATTGCTCTCTTGCTCTTTGTAGGTTTGATTCTAGAAGAGCTGTTCAGCAACTGCGAGCATGTGGAGTTCTGGAGACCATCCGCATCAGTGCCGCCGGCTATCCATCCAGGTTATTATACGTATCTGTACTTTTACTCAAGTACTTGATTTGTGTACTTCGTCCACCACTGCAGGTAACGGATCTACAGATTCCTTTAAAGGGCTTCAGGACAGGGTAGACATGGGGCTCTTATGCTTTTCAAACAAGTACTTCGTATACACATGCATGACCTCGTGTACTCTTACTAATCATTGGAAATTATATAACTATGGAAATCAAACCACAAATACGAGTTTATTTAAAATGTTTTTTCCTCATCACATCTGATGTCATTTCTTAGGTGGACCTATCCAGATTTCTTCAGCAGATATCGGGTGCTCATGTCAAAGAAGGACATGACCATTGGGGATAAGAAGCAGGTTTGTAAGAACCTGCTGGAGACCTTGATAAAGGTAAGACTACCATGGCTAGAAATGACTCAAATGTAAGTTGTATGCATAGTGCTCACTCTCATCCTGGTATCGTGGTTATACAATGTTTGTCTGGACATTTACCACAGCAATTTTGAAGTACTTTGTACTTTTATTTATTACCATGCTATTGCCATCTAAAACTATCCGTGTGCCATCTATTACCATGTTACTGTTTAAGAAAATTGATAAGCTCAAAACATATTCCTATCCTAGAAATTAAAATATTTTGTAAACATTTCTAACATATACTCTGATTGAAAGTTTGGGGTCTGTAAGTGTTTTTTTTATTTTAAGAAATGAATATGTATTAGGATGCATTAAATATATATTAGTGCTGTCAAAATTAGCGTGTTAACGCAGGCGATTCATTTTTTCAGTTTAACGCGTTAAAAATATTTAACGCCGTTAACGCAGGGGCAGGGCTACGGTTGGCCACCCCACTCACAACTGCTGTTTCTGTCTCTTTTTTCGTGACAAGAACCATCGTCGATTTAAACGCAGAACGTCTTTATGATCACATCAAACAGGAGACTTTTCAGACGTGTGCTCCAACTTCACTTCAGGGTCAGGTGCGAGTCAAACAAGGAAATGGTGCTCGTAGAATGCTCTTCAATTGCACGCACAAAGGCGCCGGTGCGCTTATTTCATATCAAAGTGCGAATGAAACAATGTGCATGCAATGTCGTAGTTATGTCGTCAGTTAAGTCATGAAGTTACCAAAAAGGCAATTAAAGCTGCCTTAAAACTGTGCATGTATGTATTTGTTATATGAGTCACATTTAAGAACATGTATCTGAAATGCTTCCAAACTGTCCTGGAGCATCCCAGCACTGTCTCCCTCACCTAACACACTCGATTCAACTCAATAGAGACTTTAAGAACTGAAGTGGGTCAGAAAAGGTAAAGAGAGATGCGTATCAGATCACGCTCAGCAGCGACAGCTCTTAAAGTGACAGCAGACAAAAAAAAAAAACTAATAACCAGCTGCTGTGATGTCTGGTAATCAAAGATCAAAAGAAAAACAGGAAATCAATAACTTTTGTAGCTTTAAGGATTCATCTGTATTTAATTTAGAATTTAGTGTTTGATCAATTTATGTATATTTCCTACTTGCTGAAGGGCACAGGTAAATATGACATTTATTATAATGGGTTTATGTGAAGATTGTTTTACAGTAAGTTCACTTAAATTAGAAGTTATTTTAAGTAGTCTAATAAATGTTAAAATTGATAGCTTTGTAATGTTGAATGGCTAATCAATGGTTAAATATTAAGGGAAAAAATTATTTCATAGAGACATTAAGAGTGACACTGGCCTTCAGTCATAAAAAAGATGCCATTATACAAATATTAAAAATTTACTGTCTTTGTTGTTTCTACAGTAATTTGAAGATTGAATGAAAAATATTTGTAAAAACTTTAATGTTAGGTGGGATTAATTTCAGAAAATATTTTTGATTAATTAGTTGTTTTTTTTAATTGATTAACAGCACTAATATATATATATATATATATATATATATATATATATATATATGTATGTATATATGTATATGTATATTTCAAATAAATGCTGTTCTATCCGTCAAAAAATCCTGAAAAAAGTGTATCATGGTTACCAAAAATATGTTAAGTAGCACAACTGTTTTTTTTAACATTGATAATAATCAGAAATGTTTCTTGAGCACCAAATCAGCATATTAGAATGATTTCTTAAGGATCATGTGACACTGAATACTGGAGTAATGGCTGCTGGATATTCAGCCCATTTTGCCATCACAGAAATAAATTAAAAGATTAAATTTTGCGTTTAAAATTAAAGTTACATATTAAAATTAAAAGTTATTTTAAATTGTCATCATATTTCATAATATTACTGTTTTACTGTATTTTTGACCAAATACATGTAGACTTGATGAGCATAAGAGACACAAAAACAAAAAAAATCTTACTGACCTCAGACTTTTCAATGGTAGTATATTTATCTCAATAAATGCAGTTCTATTAAAAACTTGCCATTTTTTTACACTTACTGCTTGTTCAAAATAGCATTTTGGACACATGAGCAATGCCCAGGGGTTACATATTTGCCTTCTCCAACATAAAAAATATTTGTAATGTTTTTTCAAAGATATTTATGATGAATAAACCTGTTAATTGTGCCTCTTATCTTAATTTCTCCTTCAGGACCCAGATAAGTTCCAGTTTGGAAAGACGAAGATTTTCTTTAGGGCAGGTCAGGTGGCCTATCTGGAGAAGCTCCGAGCTGATAAGTTCCGCTTCGCCTGCATTAATATCCAGAAGACCGTGCGAGGATGGCTCCAGAGAATTCGGTACCGCAAGATCCGCAAGTCTGCTATCACTCTGCAGAGATACGGCCGGGGTTACTTGGCACGCAGGTGAATGTTTGAATAGACGGCTCTTAGATTGAACTTCACAGAAATACAGAATACAGAAATATTCAGCTTGGTATGTTTTTCGCTTTACTTACAGCTCTTGTTCTCTCATTCTCTCTCAGATATGCAGAGATGCTTCGCCTGACCCGAGCAGCACTTATTTGTCAAAAGCAGTACCGGATGGTACGAGTTCGACGGGAGTATCTGAGGACCCGTCGGGCTGTGATCACCATTCAAGCGTTCGCCCGGGGCATGTTCATACGCAGGTTATATCAGGAGGTACTCTACAGCACTTTATCTTTTGTTTCACACTCTTCATGTTTCTTTAAAGCACAGTTTTAAGCTGCATTTTCTGTCTTTTCAGTTCCTGCTCCATCACAAAGCCATGATCATTCAGAAGACCGTCCGTGGTTGGCTTGTGAGAAAGAAGTATCTCCGTGCCAGATATGCTGCCATTGTCATCCAGTGTTTCTACCGCCGTGTACGTGCCAAGCGCCAACTCAAACAGCTCAAGATAGCAGCCCGTTCGGCCGAACACTTTAAAAACCTCAATGTCGGAATGGAGAACAAGATCGTGCAGCTTCAGAAGAAGATGGATAACCAGGTACAGGAGCATAATAGGATGCATGAATGATTACGGAGTCACCAAAACGAATTGACATGGTGTTGACTAGTTATCTTCTTTCTTTACAGTCAAAAGAGTATAAAACTCAGAATGAGCAGCTGGTTGTTACTAACACTACTCTGGGATCAGAGGTCACCAAGCTCCAGAAAGAAGTGGAGACTCTTCGCAGTCGGCAGACTGCTGGCACTCAGGTGACATCACTGCAGGAAGAGCTTGAGAAGTTGAGGGCGGAGCTCCAGGAAGCCCACGCCCAGAGGAAGCAGATAGAGGAGGAGTTCAGCAACGAGAAACAAGGACTCGAACAGGTGAGAAAGGATGCTCAGGTAACTAATTGATGTTTGTTGATGTTCTTTGTCTCAAGAATTGTTTCATATTTCTATATCATTTAAAACGTCTGAGGGTAAATAGAAAAACAGGTCAATGCATTTAGTTTTCAGTTTCCACAGGAAAACAATGACACTCTAAAGGGGCAGCTGTTATGTAACTAATGTCTGTCATGCACAAGCAAAGTTAATAATGCATGGAAATTGTTTAAGAGGTTTGACCAGCTCACAAAAGGTCTTTTGAAATGGAATAATCAGCTAGTAAGCCTTTTAATGTAATCATCTCCCTCATGTTTTGATGGTAAGAGTTAAAATTGATCAATTTAAATTATAGTAATGTCTTAATATCAGTGCTATAGTGATGCACTCAAATAGTTTTTAAGGTTATGCTTTTTCCTTGGTTTTTTATAGTAACGTGTGTGTGTGTGTGTGTGTGTGTGTGTGTGTGTGTGTGTGTGTGTGTGT